TCATGATATTATTTTGCTGTGGCGCTATAGATTTATGTGAAAAGCAGGGACGCACAATAATTAAAACGTTGTCAATCGCACACTGGATGCGTCAGTCTGTACTTGCATTCTCAGATTAAATGCGGCAATCCAAAACAGTGAATATAGTCACCATTCAGGCAAAAGTTTGCTTCAAGAATGACCACACTGCTGACGTGATCTTATTGATATCACACCCTCAGCACATGTGAGTTACCCGCTTATCGGCAAGGCATATCGGCATACTTTTTATATTGGGCCGATGTTTATATTTTAAGCCTTTATCGGCCATTTCTGATAACGTTCCGATAATATTGTGCATCACTAGTGAAAAGCATCAAGTATTTACAATATAGCAGTACCATATTGGTTATCAGTTGATATTAGAGGTTTTTATTATTACGTAGTGTTGAGTGGTTAGTTGTGTATTCCCCTATTTTTACATGTAGATTACCTAGACTTTTAGATTACATTTAATAATTTAATAACACTGTTAAATGTATATTTAACAAATCTTAAAATGAATATAAATTTTTCATACTGTACTGTACATTATTATGTTGAGATGCTCACTTGAAGCATTTAAAACAATTGATTTTTTTTTACAAAATAGTATACAATTTTATTAATGTAATACTTTTATTCGGCAAGTATGCATTAAATTGATCAAAAGTGACTGTAAAGACGTTTACATTGCTACAGAATTTCCACAAAAATATTAAAAAGCACACCTGTTTTCAACATTGATAATATGTTTCTGGAGCAGCAAATCAGCACATTCGAATGATTTCTGAAGGATCATGTGACACTGAAGATTGGAGTAATGGCTGATGGAAATTTTGCTTTACCTTCATAGGAATAAATTACATTTTAAAATGTATTAAAATAGAAAAACGTTATTAAATTGTAAAAATATTTCTTAGTATTATAGTTTGTTGTGTTTATATTTGATCAAATAAATGCAGCCTTGATATAAGCATAAGAGACATCTAGCCTAATTCTCACTTAATTTATTTTGACAAAAGAGTATACAATTTTAAAGGGGACATCGGATGCCAATTTTCCATAAGTTGGTATGATTCTTTACGGTCTTCATGAATTGTCTATAACATACTTTGGTTAAAATTCCTCAATGATCATTTAAAACAACACCCTGTTTACCTTGTCAATGAACAGCTCTATTCAGCGACCCGTTTCGGTGCATGTCTCTTTAAATGCTAATGAGCTCTGCTTACCCCGCCCCTCTCTTCCATGGAAGAGGAAAGGCGATTTGCAAATAATCATAAAAAAATATAAAGTGTGAGATTTACTTCTTCTGGAGGTGCAGCTGGATCACAAACAGTGGGTACTGATCCATCCTTGAGTTTGAACTTTTTGGCAAAATCTGCCTTGAATTGTCCCATGTTCAGAAAGCAGTCTGGAGTAAAATGATTTGCACAGACATAAACAAATTTAGGTGTCTTCGGTGGTGCATTACCATCAAAAACAAAACTAATCCACTATGTCCTCAGTGGCTCTGATGTCAGGAGAAAATGAAGACATGTTCACTTTTACATCCAACTAGAGGTCTACACGGAGGACTCGAGGACCCAGGACCCAGGACCCGACCCGGGATCCGTACGGGTTCGGGGCTATATTTTAAATGGTCAGCCGGGTCCGGGTCGGGTCCCAATCTATTACTTCGGGTCCCGGGTCTGTTTAACATTGTGTGTAATACCCGAGTCGATCGGACTCGGAGAACACCCGGCCGTTATCGGAGTCAGTCAGCGCTTTCGACTTGTAAAATTAGGATGAGAAAGTGTGAGTCGGTAATTTGAAATAAAGTGAAGAAACAAAACACGAGCGACGACATCAGAAGCAGGGTGAGCGGAGTTAATGCACACGCACGGTGATAATGGATACCTTCATGAGTGATGCAAGTTATTATTGATTTTTTTTTTTTATAATACTATGAATGAACCATCTTGTTATATCTAAAATGTTTGCTCAGACTCGGCTCAGAGAGCACAGAGATGATAGCAAATAAGTAAAGCTAACGTCAGCAGCCATGGCACTGGACGAGCAATCGTTATTATAATCCAAATGGGCAAACAGTCTAAATTATTATGCAAGTTGACCCGAGTTACAAAAAATGCGAAACTGCAAAGTCGCATTTGTCATCCGTCACCGTGACAGCAAGTGGACTTTTGAAACTAAAATAATGAGTGGATTACCCATTTCAATTGGCAAGAGAGGAATAACATGGATGGAACTTTTTTGGCAAAGAGGATTGTGTGCATCACAGTAAGGCACAAGGGAGAAGGCTTCTTACATTAGGTAAGACAAAAAGTAAAATTTTCGCAACTTGTTTATCGACTTGTTAATAGCAATTTGCTGTGGAATATGTGCCGATCGGGTCCAGTTGGGTCTGTGTCTTCCCGGCCGGGTTCGGGTCCATCTTTCAAATAATTGACGGTCCGCGTCGGTTCCGGGTAGTACATTTTTGACATTTCTCGGTTCTGCACAGGCCCGGGTCCAACTTTAGAAAATAGACGGGTCCCGGTCGGTTCAGTGTAGCACGAATTTTTGGACCCGTGTAGACCTCTACATCCAACTAAACACCTGGATTGCTTATGAGACATTGTTGTCACTACAGCTACTCGAGCACAGAGAAAATGGCAGACAGCATACAACTGGCTGAGGGCGGAAATATGCTAATACTGGACAGTCCGTTAGCTGTCGTGGGTGGGGCTTGAGCAATATGTCATATTGCTCAGAAAATCAAAATGGCTTAATTATAGAGACTGTTTAGGTTTTTTAGGGATTTAAAAAAAAAAAAGGAGTGAATGGATTTTTTTATCATTGTAGGGTGGTTGTGTACACATTTAAATGCAAACACCATGTAAAAGTGAATTTTGTATCCGATGTCCCCTTTAATATCTGTCATTTATTAATTACTGGCCACTACATGAAAACAATTAATAACTTTAAATATCAGTGGCATCACTATAAAGAATATTTTAGTACAGTATCACATTAGAAGATGAACAATTAACAGAACAATTACCAGAACCGAACATCATAAAAATTAATTGTTTCTGTTTTTCTGTTATTAAAAGTGGAGAACAACAAAAACCAACTCTCAATTCCCACAATTCACATATGATGTTTTATTCACTTGCTCCTAGATTCACTGCACACATGAAAAAGGTGTTATTCACGGCCTCAGTGTATCTTTGTGTATTTTAAAGCATAGATAAGTGTTCTCATGCATAATCAAACGGGACACTCCTGCTACATCGTCTTCTGTGACCATGCAGGTTCTTCTGCATTCAGAAAATGTATTTAATTTATTTATTTATGAATACATTTATCTTTATTCAGAAATGGCCCAGACGTCTTCTTTCTGTTTATAGTTTATAGCTCAATCCCCTTGGTCTTTGAACAAGGACACTTGCTGTAAATATCTCCCATCACTCCAATGTCACCCCAGTCGTTTCCACTTTTTTAGGTATATATTCCCAATGCCTGCTGTTCAATGCAGCCGTAGGATAGACTGGCTGAATAAATGGCCATGATTGTCTGATGATGGGTGACAGCGGTGGGCAGCAAAATAGTTTTCCATAGGGGTAGGACGTTTTGCTGGTAAACACACAGAGTTTTTTCCATGACGCCTAGTGCAACGATCTACTGCTGATAAATAGACTTTTTTCGATGCAGGAAACCCTCTAACAGTTTGTCAGAGGATCATGGGTCACAGCATGCTATGCCTGAAGGCATCTATACAGTAGATGGGCAATCAACCGGAGCAGAGCTGATTTTAGCCAACCTCATCCCTATTCTCTCTTTCTCTCTTTTTTCCCCCCATCCTCTGTCCCAGCCAGGCACCGGCAGCATCGATCACAGTCCAGGAAATTCAATATTCTGCACCAGTCTCATTCCCACCATGTGCCTGTACGACGTCATTTGTATTCATTCTCAGTATAAATAGGAAATCTTTATAATAATGATGGTCTAAAGGGTGGGAAGCGTTATCCCAGTTAACCTTTGATCCGAGATCCGAGATCTGGGAGAGCGGGAAAATACATCTGCATTCTTGTGAAGTGGCACCCTCAGTTCACCCCAGCCTGCTGTAGTTTCCTGCCAGCGATGTTGGGTTGTTATGAGACGAGAGATGTTGGGGCTTCGCAATTATTCTCTTACATCTCAATTCTACTATATCAGGCAGAGAGAAAAAAGCATTAAAGCTTGAATCACAAACTATGCATCATACAGTATTTACACTGTAAAAGTAAACTTAGAAAATGAAGGTAATTGTTTGCATGGCTTTTGAGTTTAAATGGCTTGACGAAACTTAACATGTGAAGTTGATATTACTTATTATATCTGCCTTTTTTTATTTGTAAATATAAGAGTCTATGAAAATTGTTCCCTTTATTTACAAGTTTGTATATGGTTTGTTTTCTATGAGAAAATGTCATGGGGATTGAAGTGTTCAAATCTATTAACAATATCACATGAATACTCGTGAGGCAATAAATACCTTAAAATGACACACACAGACCTCAACACATCTGAAAGATCATTTTAATATAGGAACAAACTCTTGATGTCACAAGACCAGTTGCTAAATGTTAACATCATGAACAACAATGAAAAGAAAACTAGCAACCATAGAAATGCAACAATATAAATTATTTATGCCCCATTGCATGCCGTGAAGAGAGTAGATGAGACTAAACACAAAACTAGCAGACTTATTTAAACTTAAAAAAAAAAAAAAATCTAATGTTACTCAACTCGCCTGTGCTTGTTTGTTCAACTTCAAATATGACAGTTTATTATAATTTAAAAGAAATGAGAAAAATAATTTTATGCAGCAAGGATGTATTATTTTTTTCAGCAGGATTTACTTCAGTTGCTATGTACAGTACGCATTACATTCATAGTGTGTGAAATATGATTGTGAGAGTGACTCCAATTGTTATTTTTCTTATTTGCAGTTCAGCCGATGAGCAGTATCGCTGGAATACCCAAGGTAAATGTCATATTTTTGTAATGATTTTTGAAAATGTGTTATCAGGCTTTTTTTTGTGTGTGGAGAATTCATAACTACACTGAATTAGTTGTGCTACAGCATGCAGGATCATTGCATCATCTTTATGAATTTTCTGTATTCGAAAACTTAAAAATGTGTTGTATGCACATTATTGGTCTTGATAGAAGAATGAGATCAGTTTTAAATATATAGATTGCAATATACAGGTTTTAAAGTAGCATTTTATAGTATATGCTATTAATTATGATTCATTTAAAAATTCATTGTTGACTATTTTCATTTCCCATTTTTATCAGTTTTATTTATTCGATTTGTTGTTGCAGTTCTAGTGTGCTTACTGTAATTATCTTTAACCCAACACATAGAGGCTGTGTCACTTTCATATGTGTCTAAAGAGTGATGAATCCCAGCTTAGCATCCTGCTCTCTGGCCGTATGGGTGCTGCTCCAGTTGAGAGGTTAATCTTATGTCTTAGGGAGCTTGTGTAACCCTTTATCCCTTGGCGAAGTACACCACACTGGCCTTGGAAGAGTTGGCAGTCAGTTCTGACACAGAGCAAGCAGCACGCCGATTAACAGGGTCATCCAAACAGCCAATCATTTTGATTCTCAGCCTGTTTGAATGCTTAGTGAGCAGGTGATGGGAAAAGGTCAGGAGGCTTCAGGAAGTATTTGTTGTGTACGAGTGATTAACCTCCTCCCTGTTTATTCCAGATGGACAGAAAGACATTGAGGAGGAACTAAACACAGGTCTGGAACTGGTGGACTCGTGTATCCGCTCCCTACAGGAATCTGGGATCTTGGATCATCAAGAATACACCACAGCTGACAGTGAGTATAGCCATCACAATTGCTTATTTAAAGGGGTCATATGATGTTGCTAAAAATAACATTATTTTGTGTATTTGGTGTAATGAAATGTGTTTATGCGGTTTAAAAAATACATTTTTTTCCACATGCTCTACATTATTGTTTCTCCTCTATGCCCCGCCTTCTGAAACGTGTAGATTTTTACAAAGCTCATCGGTCTGAAAAGCGAGGTGTGCTCTGATTGGCCAGCTATCCAGTGCGTTGTGATTGGCCGAATACCTCAAGCATGTGACGGAAATGTTATGCGACGAGACAAAAACATTAAAAGCCATTATAAACGAGGCATTTGTTGCATCCAGGGGGGACATAATTACGGATTATAATGCCTTATACTGTCTTTTTACGCGTTGCATCGTGCCACGTAAACATAAAACCATGTCTGCAATTGTGATCGGAGAAATGACAAACAACAAGCGCTACTCTACACTGCTCAAAACTCGCGTTTGAATCGTCAGTGGCAAATCCTTTAAATTTGAAAACTTACTTACAGTCTGTGAGTCAGAACAGCCGCCATTGTAGTCTACTCTCCCAGGATCAGGAAACAGTCCTCCATAAAATGTGCTGCACACATCTGAATATTTGGGTTGAAGTGTTCTGGAACAGTATTGTAAATACAACTTAACCACTGATTTCTAGTCGTGTCCTCTTTCGGAAGGCCAAACAAAGTAGTTTTGATTTCACAACGAAACACACAGCATCACACACAGCGGGCTAGAGTGAGTGGCGGCCGGCGGCCTTGAGAATGGTGCGACAGGCGGGCTTGCGGCAACCACATGTGACGACCCCGGGCTGGACTCCGCTTCGTCCACGGTGAAAGCCGATCCGGCGATCCACAGCACTAAGTGGATGTATTCCCTCAGCGACCAGCACGGATCAGCTCCAGGCATGACGAAGCAGATATCGTCCTCTTTTGGAAGACAAAACAAAGTAGTTTCGCTTTCACAACGAAACACACAGCGCCTTCACTACATGGCGGCGGCAACAATACTACTGCGAGAATAAAAGTTTCGCCTTGTTTCTTTGCGTGAACATTTGGGCGGCGTTATGCAAATCTTCCCACATAGTGACGTAGACATGTGGGGGCGTGTTAGAACGAGCCGTTTTAGGTAGGCGTGATTGACTCTTAACTTTTATAAAGAATATCTCTTTGGATTTGAGACTTTAGTCTTTGCAACTTTACAGATCTTTATGCACTAAGAGCTTGTAACACTTCAAAGAGAAAGGAACAATTGAAATCGCATCATATGACCCCTTTAACTGTTTTGTTTTTTTTGGAGTGCCTGAGTTTGCTTTATGTTGGTGTGTTGTCCATTAAAGAAACAAAAGCCTAATCCTACCAATTAGCGAAGAGATTTTTGGTTTCAAAAATCAACCATTGGTTTCAACTTGACAACCTGGTTGATGTCTATGTTCATTTGAAAGGAGCGCATTTACTGTCAATCAACAGGCCAGCACATACTGTATATGAGAGGGTGGGTTTTTGAAAAAGGTGGTGTGTCTATTCAGTGGATGGGTTCCTAAACAGCAGCTGTAATATTGACAATGCATTTGGTAACAGGCGCATCAAGGAATTTAGTGCTAGTTATTGCAAAAATATGAAAGTATTTCCAGACAAAGCCTTTAGGCAAAAAAGGGGAATGTTGACTCTGTACACAATTACAGAACATTTCTAATCTCAAAAATGGCACAGTTGTTCTAATTATGTTTGAAAAAATGTATTTGTTCTTTCCTCTTACAAGGTGCACTAATATATTTAGAATATGTTGCTTGAAAATTGTGAAAGGAATAATAATATTTTTCTGCAAACATGCATTTTGGAAGTTTTCCATTTATTGAGCAATCTAATGTACTGATCTAATGTATTTTATGTGCAAAAACATCTAATATGCAAAATAATATATAATTATATGATATAATTTTATAATTTAATACTTGTAAATTACTGAATTACAAGATAGCTGAATAATGTGCAGAAATTTTAACCATATCTCCTTGACACATTGAAAGTCAGGAAACTGCATTTTTCACATCTATAGCTTTAAAAGGCAACCATTTGTCTCACTTTGTATCTGCATTTTGAACGTAACTGAGAACATCTGTCAAGATTAATGTTATGTACATTGCTTATGTTCTGATAATTAAGCTGCCTGTTATGTTGAGCATTGCACCTAAAGCGTTTTATGTAGGGATGGTAATAACTTTTATTTTTGTCATTTTTGTGAAACTACATCTGGCTGCATGCCATGTTAAATTAAGACAGCAGAACTGGAAGATGTGTGCCAGGACAAACAGAAGTTGGTTGTTATAAATATACTTAGAATTGTGGTCTGTTGTGGGCAAATAAATATCCATTGTATGCAAATAATACCCGATAAAGAGATAATTCACCCAAAAAATGAAAAGTCTGACAACTACTCACCCTCATGTAGTTCCAAACCTGTTTGACTTCATTTCTTTTGCGGAACACAGGAGAATATATTATACAATGGAAATCCAATATTGTTTGTACCCCAACATTCTTCAAAATATATCCTTTTTCAGAAGAAAGAAATGTACTGTAAATAGTGAGAGTGAGTAAATGATGAAAGAAGTTGACTTTTTTTTGGTGAATTCTTATGCATATTTGGCCTTCCCTGACAGTAAAATGTAGCATGTGACAATTTTCCAGGTTTTAGTGAAAAAAACTATTCAAATGTAGTTTGTTTCCAGGCATGAATAATAATAATATTGCCAACAACTTGACACAACACATTACTTATTCTAATGCTGAATTTTAAGTTGTTATAATTATTTGCAGCAATCATTTTGTACAGTGTAGGATTTACTTCTTAAACAACTTTCACTCAGAAATTGCTAGTAAATTTCACTAATATCTACAAAGAAACAGCAAGTAACAAATTACGTGAAATTTTGAAATCAAGAAAGACTGAAGTAGTGTTTTATTTACAACTTTGAAAAATTATTTTAGATTAGATTTAAATTATTAGTTTGTCCAGTACAATCTGAGTATCGTCCTGACTTTTCAGCATGTTTTTGGAGTGTTTTTTTATGATTAAAAATAAGATGATAGATGATGATGATGTACGTTATGTGCAGGATTGACTAGAATTCATAAATCTCTGAATGTCAGCATGTTTTTTCTGTGATAAAGTGAAAATGTATCACCCTTTCCTGCATTTCACCTTTTCTTTTCTCTTCTTTTTTCTTTTGTTCTTTTTGGCAAAGATTAAGAATAAAAAGGCTTAAACATCTGTTTTATGGAGGATATATTACTTCACCGAAAACTGTCTTAATCGCCTCCCAGAAAGTTGCATGTCATTAATCTTTTTTCAGAGTTCAAAGTGCTTTTAAATAACTTATTGACTTTGCGCTTTATGTTAAGGTCGGTGACAAGAGAAAAATGCCACAGGTTTTTGTAATCCAATTCCAGCTTCAAAGTCGAAATAATCAAAACAGATAATGCCTCGGCTGAATAGACATCCCTACCACAAGATTCTCTGGGCTTCAGGCATTAGAATAGCACAGTCGAACATAACAGTCCATGAATTATGTATTGAAACTAAGTATATTTACTATAACGGGCTGAAATTACAGTGAGCTCTAACGTTTCGCTAAGGACAGAGTGGCTTTCAATAATTTATCTGATAGTGGGGTGAGTCGAGATAAAGTAGCTGGAGCGCTGTGGAGGTGTCTGATGTGGACACGCTTTTACGTATTATCTGACGGCCAACAAACACTGGCCTCTGTGATCCAAAGGCTTTATTCTTTGAATGGAGCTTGTCCCCGACTCGTTCAGAATGCATTAGGGATCTAAGCATTACAGGAATAAGAAAAAGATTGATGTCTTGAAGGCATCGGTCTCAGTGCCTGCTATGTGTAATGTCAGCCTTTCATTTCTTTCCATAGGTTTCATCTGATTATATTATATATCCATGTCGCCCTTTTTCTCGTACTGAGTCAAAGCAGCAGGATGATTCCGCTCTTGTGAGTCTTGTAAAAGAATATAAAAAATAGATACCTCACGAAATGTTTCATCATATAGGAAGCAAAAAATTTGAGTTACAGCCTCTGGTGATATTTTATATAATAGTCCAACAGTCCATGCACTTCCGTGATGGGATTATATATTTCTAGTAAAGTTTATTCCATCCATTGGTTAACTTAACAGCCTGGTATTACGTGAAATGTTGTCAAGCATCTTCTTGATACCATGGCAAGTGACACAACTGTAATTTATCCAGTTTTCCTCCATTGTCTATTGCAATCTGATTATTCAATTAGTAATTTCCGGGGGGAATTTGGCTTCATCTTGCTAGGCACAGATTTCACAGCGCAGTTAACCATTGATTATCTTACAGACAATTTAAACAAAACACAAAGTATGTATTATGTACTTGTGAAATATAAAATGTTATCAGTAGGCTGCTTATATTTTGATGATAACTATATGATATACTAATTTGTAATTTTATTGTTGTGTTAACTGAAATTTTGTTTGGAGAAAAATTATACAGAATTTGATACGGAATTTTTTTTGGCCAAATTCCCTATTTGCACCATGGTTATATTAGTAGTTTATGAGTAATTAAAAATATTACTAGTTGAATCCAGTATCACAGCGAACATGCTGTTAGGCACACTCCTTTATTAAAAATCTATTAAATATTGGTATAATTATTAAGCAAATTAAAACAAAGGCACATTGCCATCCATATTTTTTCTTCTTCATTTAGGTAAGCATTGCTTAATTTAATTATTGAAGTAAACAATCAGCAATAATTAACAAAGAAATAAATTAAAAGGAGTGTTTTTTTGTTGTTGTTTTTCTTATTAATATTTAATTTTTATTTATTTATTTTGTAAATATTCTTATTGACAGCATAATAGACTGTAACAGGGATAAAAGGGGTATTTCTGTATTATTTGCTCAGTATTCATTTACTCCCCCATATGTTGTTCCAAAACTGTTTGCATTTCTTTCTTTTTTTTCTACTAAACACAAAAGAAGATATTTTAAGAATGTTCCAAAAGTAGTTTCATATTGACTTCCATTGTATTTTTTTTATAGTCATACAATGTAAGTCAATGGGAACCAAAACTGTTTGGTTACCAGCATTCTTACCAGCAAGTATTTTCTTTTATGTTTCACAAAAGAAAGAAAGTCATACAGGTTTGGTAAGTAAATGATAAGACAATTTTAATTTTTGGGTGGACTATCGCTTTACTGCACATATATACAATATTTCGCCTTATTATTTAGTTTTGACTTGGTATCAATTTTATGGTACTAATGGTTTCATTTGGAAAAAGAAAAGACTTATTGACAGTCTTATTGACTGAGACATGGGGAAACGGCAGCATTCATATGAGCACCTCACCAGAGAAGCTTTTGAAATCAGTGAACCTGCAGGACTGTACATTGGGGATGTGTGATTTATTCTGTGTGATACAGCATGCAGCGCTGCTTGGCACTTTGATGTTCGGGTTTCAGCAAGGCTGCTTTACATGTATGGAGGTGTTATCCTTAGTTAAACTAATCCAGCTGCTCCATTTTAAGGAGGCGAATGAGAGCGCTGTGGATTTCTTGGGCAGGCTTGACTGAGGATGGGGGAAGTCAGATGTGTAAGAGCTGTGTAAGTGTCTTACACTAGGTGAGGAGCTATATTTAGTGTCACTGCTGTGATGCTGTAGCTTCAGCCCCTTTAGACATGCTGCTTCAAATGAGAGAATGATTCCCAGGAGGCTAAAATATAACATGCACAAAAATGTACATACAATATGCATACAAAAGAGAGGGAACACACACCACATTAGAACATTAGCATGAGTGACAGTGATATATTGGCCTGGCTGATTGTTAGTCATTTAATCATCAATGCTGACCAATTACACTGACCTCGTGTTCAGTGAACAGAAATGGTAGTTCACCCATGTCAGTTCCAAAGTCTACTATTATTTTATTTTTATTTATTTTTTAATGCATATTAAAATTTTCTTTCTCTTTTTTTTGTGCACAATTTTCTTTCTTTCTTTCTTTCATTCATTCATTCATTCCTTCTACTGAATTTCTGGTTTGGTTTTATTTTTATTTATTATTAATCCATTCATACATAATTACATTTTCAGTTTTTATGTATTTATTTAATTTTATGTATACATGTATAGTTGCCTTGTCTATTTTTTATGTTATGTATAATTCCATTTTATTTTTTATTTTTCATTTATTTATTCATGCATGCACAATTGCATTGTCAGTTTTTAGATTTCATTAGTTTTTTATGCATGCATTCATAACTGCACGTCTTGTTTTAGTTTAGTATTTTATGTTTGCATGCTTAATTGCATTGTATATATACAGTATATATATATGTGTGTGTGTGTGTGTGTGTGTGTAAAGCATATATATATATGCTTTTTTTTCTTTTTTTTATGCATGGCATGCCATATGTACAGTACCTGTCTGGCACAATAAGAAATGAGGATCAGAACTTATGTGACTGCATTAAAGGGATAGTTCAACAAGCAGACTCTGATGACTGTTCTGTTGCTTTTGATCATCTTCAATATCATTTGAGAATTCACCTTACAATGCCATGAAGTCTGATGATGATATGGTCAAGGGTTGGGGCAGAGGAAAGCTTTAGGTTAACCAAAGCTGCATTGCATTCCCCAGGTCTGATCAGGGATTTTCAGATCAATGGGAACATAAATGAGAGCAGCAGGCTATTATGGACTCGAATAATGCACCAATTTTCTTATCTCTCCAGACCAGCTTGATGGATCTGTCTGATACAGGAACCATACATTATTGTGTAGCACGAGGAGAGCAGACAACATCCTCCTCCTGAGAAACCTGAGATGCTTTAACTCGAGCTGTTTTTAAAGGCACAGTGTTTTGTGAGGGGTGGGAAAAACCAATCATTATTTTCACTGTATGTTTCAGGAGTAGCTAATCTCTGATTGAGACTGATAGTCCAACCATGGGTTTACTGAAAGCTGAGGTCTTTGAGGGTTGATAGCATCTTGACAAACTATGAATTGTTGATAGAATCTGGTTTGCTGTCAGGATGGCCCAGAAGCGCTCTCCAAACACGCAGTCGGGCCACTGCTGATTATCTGTGTAATCTGACAGGAATGGACATTTTGGTCATTGTTTACTCATGTATTCGACAGATAAATCAACTCTAGAGAGGGTGTAAGGGATACACTTGGTATAATTATTATTACAATTATCTATCTATCTATCTATCTATCTATCTATCTATCTATCTATCTATCTATCTATCTATCTATCTATCTATCTATCTATCTATCTATCTATTATGCCAGTGTTTAAACATTATTGTAGAGGACTTTATATATTGTATACTGTATAATATGATTTTTCAAAGTTGAAAATAAAACAAAGATTATCTGAGTTTTTCTACTTAAAAAGGTCACATTTATTTCAGTGTTACTTGGTGTTTCTTCATAACTGTTTGTGGAATTTAAAAGCAATTTCTGAGTGGAAATTATTTCTATTGTTGTTATTAATTATTTATTTCCCCCCCCCAAATGTACAAGTTTAATTTCAGTTGATGGCATGTTCTAGAGTTGAGAGACTCTAACTAGTCTCTAATTAGTCACATGACACTTACAACTCAGGTGATTGGCTCAAAAACTTATGTCGCCCAATGAGTATGGATATTAAAAGTATTCCAAATATGGCTAGTTTTAGTTTGAAAGTTAAAAGTTGGCTCTTAAGTAGGTTGTTTAATTGATGAATTTGTATTAGTATATATTCTGTATGATTAATTGTGATTTTAAATTTTGTAAATGTGGAATTTTTATTGTAACTTTTGTATTTATGATGCAATGCCAGTGTACCTGTCACCAGAAGTTTATGCTTAACATCAAGGACCACAGTGGAAACCAGTTTTGAACTTTGTGTCATCCTTGACGAATTGAGTGTATTTCACTCTTTTGTTTTTGTCAAATCAAATCAATCAAATTAAAATCAAATCAGCAAAGATGACACATTTTGAGGGGATTCCACACCAGTTAGTGCACATTGATGCAGTGCTGACACTGCAAGGTATCGCTTTCAAATGATACAGTAACCACTAACTTATTCAAAAGTGGGGGCCGTTTTTTTTTTTTTTTTTGCACATTTCTGTGTATAGTTGTTATTAAATGTTTTGAACTTTGGATAAAAATGCCTACACTGTTATTATGTTTTGAGGATTGTTCATGATCGATTGTCCTCATGCCCAACCCTAGTTCTCCCAGCACTTCAGCTGTTTGCTGACACCCCCACACAAACATTAAAACACTTAATTTTTCTCGGTTTCTCTCCTCTTGCACATTCCTCTCCTTGGGTTTTCTCTTGTAATTTTAATCCCCATCTCTCGTGCTGTCTTTTGCTTGCTCATTCTTTCCTTCTCTCTCTATTTCACTCCTCCCCTTCTAATAAATTATGCATGCCATTTCTGCCAGGCTGAGGGCTGCATCGCTGTCTTGCTGAAATTGCTCTCTCGCTCTCGCTCTCTGCACACAGGACCGAGTCTGCTCTCTCAGAGCTCACTGCAGCTCAGCTCGAACCCAGAGGGCTCCCTCCAGTACTCCGCCAGCTACCATAGTAACCAGACCCTGGCCCTGAGTGATTGCGTGTCCGCACCACAATCTCAGCAGCCTCAACCCCCTCCACGCTCCAGCGGGCAGCCCGGAGGAGCTGTGCATAGCTACAACCAGGTGAGCGCTGCTTCTTTCCTCTTTTTCTTCGAATCTCGTTATACATCCATCCTTCAGTTTTGTATTTTCACAGAGACGACTCTGTTCTGCACCTCAAGTCTCTCGTGATCAGAGACATTGTAGCGCCTTTGCCTTTTTTTCGGGACTGGCACGAACCCGGGCTCCAGCTGGGATCATATTTCAAGCTGCTGCCTAAAAAGTGATTTCGAGACCTGATTAAAGCAATTAACTGCAAGACCAAAGCATTTGTTAGCAGACGCCAGTGGTACTGCATTGCATCGAGCGGCAAGTGTGTGCACGACAAACTTTGTCATTATCCAGAGAGTTAAATTGTGCCCTGTTGATGAGACTGTAATTACAGCAAACCCTGCAGGGCGGTTTCTCCCAACTTTCATTTCTGTTAAATGAGTCTCTCGCACCTGCTACGAGCTACAAATGTTCCGATAAAAAGGTACGGTTTCTGTTCAGACTACAAATATTGAATTTCCTCCATGTTCGCTAAGTAACTGACCATTTAACGCATGCAAATGGCTGAAGAAGAGCTTGAGCGGTTGGTCACGATAAAGCTGACATTGGCACATCCTCTCTCGCTCGCACACCCTCCCTTTTGCACTCTTCTCTCTCTCATCCTTTGACACTTTTAATGAACACATAGGCCCTCTGTCTTCTAATGAAAGATGCCCAGCTCCTCGGCCTTCCGGACTTGTTTCTGAGAGAGTCGAGGGGGGCCTCACTGCAAAGATTCTTTGAAAACATTCTCATTTTAAATGAATGCAGTTTCTCATTTAAAAAAAAAAATTGCTTTTTTCTGGCTTGCAAGTGTGCTTGCTTTATATTGAAAGCAGAAACTGCATTGTGTTTCTTCCTCTCCTGTGTTTGTGCGGACTGTCGGCTTGATTCTGTGGAGGGTAATCTGAAGAGGGCTTGTCTGCTCTAGAATGGGTTTATATAACACAACGCATCAGTTAGGTGCTTTTATGTAGATATTTTTAACACCATAAACCTCTTGTTCCCTAAATAATTCATCCACATCAGGAACCAGTAACAGTCTCTTCAAGTAGGTGTTCCTCTGCTGTTTATGCCGGGATGTGGTTCCCCCTCTGAGCGAGAGAGAGAGTGAGAGATGGAGAGATAAAGCATTTGGTAGAGGAATGATGGTATAATTGCATTACACCTTGGTATAACATAATATTGAGCTATTAACTACCTTTTTTAACTCTTCACAATCCTATCTTGAGAGTGTTTTTTCTTCTTCAGAGGATTCTTCCATCTCATTCATTAAAGTCTTATCAGGAGAAGCAGAGCAATCGTGAAAATAAAGATTAAAGTTACAACCGAAAGGCTTTTTGTAGACCTTTTTACATTATACAACATATTCTCTAGTTCTTTATAGTAAACCATCTCCAAACAAGGCTTCAGGATACCTAGAATCAATATATGCTGCACTAAAGACTCTATATCAAGATTTATTTATGATTAAGATTTTTGTGTTGTACAAACGCTGTCCCATGTGAAGCTTGAGCTTACAACCATTGGATTATGTGAAGACATGTCAGCTGGACAAAGGACATCTTATGTATATATATATTTTTTTTTTCTTCGTTTTTTGTTATTTCTTTATTATTTATAATTTTTTATTTAATTTTTTTCTCATTTATTTGTTGCATTTTACAGTGTAAAAAAAAGTCAGTAAGCAGTAATGGGGGAGAGTTTATGTTTGTTCATTATTTTATTTACTTTTTAAATTGATGTATTGGCGTTGTTGCCTTTATTAGTTGTTCTAAAATGTTGACATTCAAAGCCCTACCTGGCAAAATCATAATCACCAAAGATTTTTAGGGTGAATTCAGGTGCTATAAATTGCAGCACTTTGTCCCTTTCATCTCAATGACAAAAGTGGCCCAATTTTTCTGAATTCGGCCTATAGCCAGCTCAACAACTCTATACAGTGAAAACGGTTTTTGATAAGGGGATTGTTCATAGGTGGTGAAGAATCTTTTTGTTTATGAACGCAGCATATAGACAAACAGAGCCAGCTTTAGCTTTAAATGTCATACACTTTTCCAGCACAATCATTCTCTCCATCTTCAAGACCTTTGTCTCATATTTATTCACCTGTTCAGACTATTTGAATATTATTACCTTATATCAATGCAATGAAAGGGAATTTCATTGCATTTCATTGCTCCCCCCCCTATTTAATTGATCATAATACAGTGAAAACAGTAATATTGTGAAATATTATTACAATTTAAAATAACTGTTTGCTGTTTTAATTCGTTACATTTTTTTATTTATTCCTGGGATGTCAAAGCTGAATTTTCAGCATCATTACTCCAGTCTTCAGAGTCACATGATCCTTCAGAAATTATTCTAATATACTGATTTGCTGCTCAAGAAACATTTATTATTATTATCAATGTTTAAAACAGTTAAACTTTTTATTGGCCCCCCCCCCCCCCCCAATGAGAAACAGTGGAACCAATGTTTCATTGTAATCACCCACAATCTTTATTGTGATTATGAGGAATCTAAAGGAAGAAATGTTTATTCACATGCCAAAGCGTCTTTCTAAATGACTGGCACTGTGCCAGCGTTAATTTGCCTTGGTTTATCTGCGCACGCCTGCCCTTCTACGTTATGGCCGTTGACATAAGGGGTGGTGATCCCATGAGGAAATGTGACATGGTCGTGCATGTATATGCAATAACTTCCGTTTACAGGCTTTTTTTTATGTATTCAGGATACATGCCTCATCTGTTACTGTCAATGGAATTATTATGGTTTTTAAGGGATTCTGAGAATAATTTTTGCCCTTGTCTCTTATTATCATCTTAATATCAAGTAAACCACCTTTAAGGGATAGTTCACCTAAAACTGAAAATTAATTTACTCACCCTCATGTCATGCTAAACCTGTGACTGGCTTTCTTCTGTCGAGCATAAAAGATATTCTGAAGAATGTTTTTGTTCATTTTCTATCATATTATTGTCACGCCCCTGGACTTTATCTGTGTTTTTCCCTCTCCCTGTGCCTGCCCTGACCTAGATTTCCCATGTTGATTGTTCATTTGCTCCCAGGTGTGTCTCGTCAAGTCATGTGTATTTATAGTGAGTCCTGTTCCTAGTTTCCTCGTCTGGTATTGAATGTTCGTCTTTCCCCGCTATGTGTGTGTTCCTGGTTCCTTGAATGTTTATTAAAGTCTGTTCGTTTGAAGTTTACTCCACGTCTCCTCGTTCCGTGCTCCTCACATTAGCGATTCGTGACAATTATGAAAGTTTACCCCAAAAAAAAACTTTCCCAGAAGTTCATAAAGACTATCAAATATGGCAACACAAACCTCAAATGTCATGATGTTTAGTCATATGACATGCAAGAAGCAATGTGGTTTTTATTTATTTATTTTTAAATGTCTCCTAAGCTAACCAAGGCTGATCTGAGCAGTACAAGATATCCCATGATCTCTACGCCACTGCCACTCTACAGAGACCTGGCAGCCTTGCTGGTGAGTAACAACTCTTGACCCGCCTTTGACTCACCGACAAGGATTTAACAAACATTGTGTGGGTGTTTCTGTGGGGACGTAATTTGAAGCGTGAAATACTTTCAGGCACCCAAGAAATAGTACAAGTCCATTACTTGCTGTAATCTGGGAATGTATTTTCTTTGAAACACTCAACTGTAATCTCATTCCAAACAGCACCAGGAAACAATACAAGTACATCAGTGTGCAAAGAACTTGTGCTAGTTGGTGACTAGTTGGCAGACTGTTTGAAACATCTATAATTGATTTTGATCAGCTTTGAAGTGAAGGAGCATTGGCACTGACAGCAATTTGAAGCGACCGGAAGCCATTCATTTTCAGTGAGAGCTTAATTGAGGCAACATGATCACATCACAAATTGAGTTTAACTTTTTAAAAGTGTGGTGATACAATTCAGCAAGTGTTCTGTAATTTGAATAAAATATAAATATTAGATGAAAAACTGAAATAAGTTGTTGAAGTAGTAAAATTACCAAAACTGAAATAAAAATAAATTACAGCTAAATATAAATATAAAAAGAAATCAAAATGAAAAATCTCATAAAAATAAAATGAAAAATATCAAATAAAAAATATAGCTCATTTAAAATATTTATATCTATATAAATATATATATCTATAATAGTATATAAATAATACTAAAATACTAACACTGGTAGGTGGTGACAAATTATTGTATTTATGAGAGAGTCACTGAATCAGCGATTTGGCCAGTACTGATTCATTCAGGAATTGTTGAAGTGAATGTTCTAATGAATTAGTGAATCATTCTTATTCATTCAACTTATTTGTTCAACAACATTGATTCATTCTGGAAAGACACAAATGAATGTCCTTATGACTGATTATTAATTCATTCAACTGATTTGCTCAACAAACCTGATTCATTAAGGAAAGAATCAAGTGAATGTCTATTCAAAATCTCAGATTCGTTAACAAAGGAAATAGAACTACTTTTAATCAGAGAAGTGGAACTATTTTAATTGGCAGAGCAAAAATACACAAAGTAGTTACATTTTTTTATTTATTCCTGGGATGTCAAAGCTGAATTTTCAGCATCATTACTCCAGTCTTCAGAGTCACATGATCCTTCAGAAATTATTCTAATATACTGATTTGCTGCTCAAGAAACATTTATTATTATTATCAATGTTTAAAACAGTTGTGCTGCTGAATATTTTTGTGCAAACCATAATTTTTTTACTGAATTATTCAATAAATAGAAAATTTTACAGAACAAAAAAAAAAATCTCACTACACCAAATGTTTATTTTTTATCAAAAAATTATTTGAAATATCTTATAGGTTTGGAATGACATGAGGGTGACATAACAGATCTTTTTTGTTCTCTCTCTCATATTTTTCCTTATTTAGGATCTGTATTGATTGGAAATAACTGTTATCTTTCTCTCCTCACAGGTGACATCTAACCGTGCAGCACAGCTTGCGGCGGGCGACTCTTGTCAGAGCCATGGTGGTGCCCTGCTGTCCGATTCCCAGCACCCCTCTGCAGCGTCCGGCCCGGGCCTGTACTACTCCTGCTCTACTCTGCCTGCCAAGCGCGTCAGCTCTCCCCTGAACTCAATGCAGTCCACGGTGACCAGCGGATCCCCGACTAAACTGCAGCGTCTGGGTTCGGCCTCCGACACACCCGGCTACGCCACCACCCAGCGCCTGCCCTCCTCGTCCTCCTCAGCCTCCCCCAAGCCTTCTCCAGGCAGGCTTGCGAAATCCTATAGCAGTAGCTCACCGATCAATGCGGTGGGGATCGGAGGAACGCCCGGTACTCACACTTCAGGCTCCCCTCACCGGTTGACGTCTCCGCCCAATAACGCGTCGCCTATCTATCAGCAGCTGCAGACCGCAGGAGTGTCGACTTACGCTACGCTTTCACCTACCAAAAGGCTGGTGCACTCATCTGAGCAGTACAAGATATCCCATGATCTCTACGCCACTGCCACTCTACAGAGACCTGGCAGCCTTGCTGGTGAGTAACAACTCTTGACCCGCCTTTGACTCACCGACAAGGATTTAACAAACATTTTAATTGGCAGAGCAAAAATACACAAAGTAATATATACTGTGTATATATATATATATATATATATATATATACACAGTATATATTACTTAACGCAATTAACGCAGGGGCGGGGCTAGGGTTGGCCACCCCACTCACAACTGCTGCTTCTGTCACTTTTTCTCTTGACAAGAAGTGCATTTATTCAGTCGCAGAATGACTGAGAACGGGAGACGTTTCAGACACGTGCTCCACTTCACTTCAGCGCCAGGCGCGAGTCAAGCGAATGCGGAAACGGTACTGTGCTGAGTGTGCTCGCAGCGCGTGCTCTTCAAATGCACGCACAAAGGTGCCGGCGCACGCTGTAGCCTGCATCCTTTCATATCAAAGTGCAAAATAAACTACGTGCATGCAATGTCGTGGTCAGTTAAGTCATGAAGTTACCAAAAAGGCGATTAAAGCTGCCTTAAAACTGTGCATGCATGTAATATATTTTATATGAGTCACATTTAAGAATGTCTCTGAAATGGTTTTCAAAACTGTCCTGGAGCAGCCCCGCATTGTCTCACTCATCTAACACACCCGATTTAACTCGTCAGCTCATTAATATAGACTTTAAGACCTGAAGTGGGTCAAAGAAATAGCAGCCAAAACAACCTAATTACCAGCTGCTGATTTCTATTAATCAAAGGACAAAGAAAAAAAAAGAGGAAAAAAGGACTATTATAGCTTTAAGGATTCATCTATATTTACTTTAGAATTTAGTGTTTGATATCTTAAATTTAAATTTCTGTATATTTCTGCTGAAGAGCACAGGTAAATATTACATTTATTATAATGGGTTTATGTGAAGATTGTTTTAAGTTCACTTAAATTAGAAGTAATTTTTTTAAAGTCTAATAAATGTTCAAATTGATAGCTCTCAGTTATACTGTAATGTTGAATGGCTATAGTCAATGGTTAAATATTAGGGGGGGTGAGGTAAATTTTATAGAGAAATCAGTATTGGTATCATTGATACTGGCCTTTAGTCATAAAAAAAGATGTCATTAAAAAATATACTGTCTTTGTTATTTGTACATTAATTTGAAGATTAATCTCTTTGCTGATCCCTACATTCAGCCCCTTAAGTCTAGAGACTTCATCTCTTCCTTTGAAGGAACATAGCACTTTGATATGAAGACTCGTTCTCGCTCCACAGTTAGACATCAAAGAGGTGCTGTAACAATTCATTTATTCAGTCATAAACCGTACGTGGCTGATATTGTAATTAGCACTGCTATTTTTGCATTTAACGTTACTTTTTCCGTAATTCTTGTAGAAAATAATCTTTTAGGTCAAAGATGATAGGCTTTGATTTTTAAAAAAAAAACTCCTGCTGATGCTTTTAAAGCAAAATGCTTTTAAAGTCCTTAATGTTTTTGGTTTAATAGCTTCATTAATTGCTTTAGCCTGTTAGTTTTCAATTTCCATTTATCACAGTACACAACAATCTGCTTTATTAATTGATAGCATCCAATTTCGTTCTTCTAAGGTCATTTGCATGAGTTATTTTGTTAAAAGGCACCAATTATAAATATTGTATATAAGAAAATATCTGTTTTCCATTTTATTATATTTTACTGGTTAATTTATTCCTGTGATGACAAAGCTGAATTTTCAGCATCATTACTCCAGTCTTCAGTGTCACATGATCCTTCAGAAGCCATTCTAATATGCTGATTTAATGATCAACATTTTTTTTCAGGATTGTTTTATGAATAAAAATCTCAAGAACAGCATTTATGTGAATTAAACATGATTTGTAACATCAGTGTTATTAATCGTTAGGTTATTATTGTTAACTTAAACTTACACCAGAAAACATTTCTTTACTTGAAATTAAATTAAATTAAATTAAATTGTTTTATTTCAGCTAATTGCAAAGGCAACATTTCTCATTTTCATTTAGTTTAACTTGATGTGCTAAAATAATTCAAACTAAAACTTTAATAAAATCTATATGGACATAATAAATAGCTAAAACAGGGCTCCGGACTGCGACTAAAACGGTCGCATTTGCGACCAAAAATATTAATTTGCGAGTGAAGTTTTTGCTGAGGGCGCCACTGGCGACTATATATATTTATATGTTATGACTTAAAAATGTGCATGTAATGCCTTTTTTCCGGATTGTTTTGCGATCACATCATTTGCTATGTTCACGTATTAAACTGAGACAATGCGCATTAAAGTTTTAGTGGAAAAAAAGAGTTTCAAACAGTCCTTATCTCTGCTGAACAGCAGCGCTGACGCACACCTGTTAAACGCAGCTCAGTTGTGCAGCACGAGAGAGATCAAAATTACGTAGACGTGCAAGTAAAAGTGTGGAAAAGCAGAGTATATTTCGTGCACAACGTCCATTAATCGCAAAATGCTTTGTTAACTTTTTAATAAACAAAGTATCAGCTTTAAAATTATGCCAAATTCATAACGAAATTCTAAATTCAAATACAGTTTTGGCACTCTTTAATGCGGCAGGCGCGATCGCTTTAGCGCCTCAGTTCAAGCGACAAGTGAACCCATTATATCTTTCTGTTTACTACTGTTGTACATAATGAACATGAATTAACATCAAAACGTAGCCTATTTTATAAGAAAGCCTACAGTACAACTTACTGAAATGTCTCATGTAAAAGCTAATTCAGTGTTTCAAACTGCGGAAAACGTGTAAAGCTTGTAAACATTGCAACGTAATATACCATGTTAAAGGTATGTGGCCTTAGGTTGGGTAGGTCAGTGTGTGAAATTATTTAAAGTGTGAACACTCGATTGGGCACTAAACAGTTGTTATCACTATGAGCTGTGGGTCAACAGGTCTCAAGCAATGTAGCACATGCATGCTGCTATGCATTGGGATCAGAGTTCAAGGTATGGAAGTTATGGTAGGAATGAGGAGGCAACAGATTTTAAAGAGTGCTGAACTGCTGATAGCTGTTGAGATGGTCGCTGCTTTTCCTCGCCGCCCGTTCCTGCTTTCTGCAGTTGCTGGCTGACAGCTGAGAAATGATGAGACAAACTGAGGTGCCTTATAGCCTGCCGCCGAAGTGATGTGCTCACTGAAGCCGCACAACCTCAGCTCTCATCCTCCCATCACTCTTTTTAAGGGCCTGTCTGCCTGGCCTGTGGCCATTGATCAGTGCTGACTCAAGACTACACAGCTCCACAGATACACATGCTGCCAATGGACAGTGTGAGTAAAATATCAGATGTGTACTATGAGGGCTAGTGTAGAGATATCAGCTTTGTTTTTGACCATCTTGTATCAGAGAAACAAGTGCGCAGCCATCTTTTGAATTTTGAATTTGCTTATTGTCGAGTTAATGAAAGTTGCTGTATCATGTGCATTGTAATGTTTGAACCAGATATCCACAGTAGAAGATTTTAAAACAAGTGGTTCATTCATACATTTTTATGACCTTACCTTCAAGGTGTGAAAATACAAACAAGACAGAAAACAACGAGTGCAGTGCTGAATAGGGCCGGAGCTACTCAAGGTCTATATGACCATTAGTTTATTTATTTATTGCTGATGGTACTTTGGTGCTACTCAACATGATTCTGGAAATTTTTGACCCTAAAAATTATATATCACTGATTATTTTATTTGAAAGAAGTCTGCATTTGTTTGATCAAAAATGCAGTAAATCTTAAAGGGATACTTCACCCAAAAATGAAAATTCTGTCATTAATTACTCACCCTCATGTCGTTTCAAACCCGCAAGAGGTTTTTTCGTCTTCAGAACACAAATTAAGATATTTTTGATGAAATCCGAGAGCCTTCTGACTCTCCATAGACAGCAATTCAACTACCACGTTCAAGGTAGTAAGGACATTGTTTAAATAGGCCATATGACATTAGTGGTTCAACCTTAATTTTATGAAGCTACAAGAATATTTTTGTGCACAAAGAAAACAAAAATAATGACTTTATTCAACAATTTCTTCTCTTCCATGTCAGTCTTCGACGCACGTTTACGACAGTACCATGACTCATGTGGTGAATGTATATAGTCTGCAATGAACGTGTAATTTGGGTTACTGTCTATGGAGGGTCAGAAAGCACTTGGATTTCATCAAAAATAACTTAATTCGTGTTCCGAAGATGAGGTCTTGCGGGTTTGGAACGACATGAGGGTGAGTAATTTTCATTTTTGGGTCTATTAAAACGATCCTTTTAATAACCAGTAATCTTAGTTTCACAATTTTAAATGACTGTTCTCTTTTTAAATATATTTTAAAATATTATTTATTTCTGTGATGGCAAAGCTGAATTTTCAGCATCATTACTCCAGTCTTCAGTGTTACATGATCCTCCAGAAATCATTCTGATATGCTGATTTAATGCTCATCAAGATACATTTTGAAAACAGTTGTGCTGCTTAATTTTTGTGAAAATTAATTCAGGATTCTTTGAAGAAAAAAAATACTGAAATTTTGCAAACTTTTGAACAGTAGTATTTTAAAAACTATTAGTATGTTGGTAATTGTTTGTGTTTAGGGTAAATAGCACATTTAATTGCTTGTTGCATTGATGTTTGCAAATGACTATGCATTTGCGATTTGTAATGTCTAAATTAAATTAATTAAATGAAGAAAAAAGCTTTCTAAATAAAATCCATACTAGCTACATTTGTCATTTGTTTCAAGGTGATGGTACAAGGTTGTTTTAGGTGGAGCCATTTGTTTAAACGATATCATTTCAATATGACAAGCTTCCCCGGGTAATGTTTTGGTCAATAATATGACAGCTGCTCTACAGATACCATCAGTCTTTGTCCTCAGAAGGTCACTGGTTGAGATTTTTAAGTGTCTCCTCAAGCTGCACTGATCTTCTTTGTAAAGAGAGAGGTTGCAGATGTCAAACGGAATTAAGCACATATCGTATTTGTTTTATTTATCTTAGTTATAACTATACATCTTTTCGA